ACAGATGTGCCAACATGTCTCTCTTAATAAATTGGAAGTTTGAGGAAAGTTCTGCCTTGGACTCTCATTTAATTTTGGATGATATTTGGAATGCTGACATTAGGGATATGTAGTCGTCCATGGTCTCAGTGTAGATGAGGATGTTACCCAGGTAGATGAGGACCCCCTTGTAGAGGTGCTTGTGCAGCACCTCATTTATTAACTGCATGAATGCCACTGGGGCCCCCTGCAGTCCGGAAGGCATCACTTTGAATTGAAAGCTCCCTAAGGGGCAGTTGAACGCTCTTTTCCACTCATGTCCCTCTCTGATACATATTCGGTAGTATGCTTCTCTGAGGTCTAGTTTGGTGAAGACTTTTCCCTTGGCCAGATGAGATAGCATGTCCTTCATGAGGATGAGATAGCATGTCCTTCATGAGGGGGAGAGGGTATAGGTTGTGTATTCACACCCCATTTATCCCTCAAAAGTCCACACACAATCACATAGTCTCATCTTTTTTTTTCTTTGAAGAGGACTGGTGCCACAACCTGTTGCTTGGCTGGCTCAGTGAACCCTCTTGCTAGATTTTTGTCTATGTATCTGCGCATCCCTTGCATTTCCTGGGGAGTCATGGTGTACAGTTTGGGCTTGGGTAGCTTTGTCCTGGGGATGATTTTGATGGCGCAGTCTGCTTTATGGTGGGGAGGCAGAACATTGCACTCGGCCTTGCTGAATACTTCTGTGAGGTCCTGATATTCCTTCGGGATCTGTTCGGCCTCTGGAGTTTTTTTGCATGGGTTTGCCAGTTGTTCTGGTGGGCTCTTTTGGGGGAGGTTCCTGTGTGGGTGGTTTTTCTGCTTGCTGGTGTGGGAGGGGTTGGGAGCCCTTTGATATCCTAAGTCTGTGGGTACCCCCTTGCCACCAGATTGTTGGTCCCCATTTGTCTAGCCAGGAAAGTCCCAGTATGACTGTCATTTTTGGGGCTATTACAAATTGAATTACTTCCCAGTGATCTGCTAGCTCTAGCCTCACTGGTTCGGTCAAGTCAGGACATAGCCCCCCGCATTAAGGACTTGTTGACCTGTTTGAACTGGATCGGGTGGACCAGTCTGTTTGCCCTGATCCCCAATTTCAGGATTGTGGTTAGGTTGATCAAGCACCTAGTGCAGCCTGAGTCTATTAGGGCTTGAAAATCCTCCTGATTTTCTGTTTTTGGGGCTGTGAGGCATATTGGAAAAAGGAAAGGCTGAATAGGTTCACCCACCATTGGATTGTTTTCTCCCTTGTCCTCGCTGTGTTGTGCCCTGGGTGGTGGGTCTGGCCTTGGTTTCGGGGCTGGGGTTGAGCACGCAGATGCCATATGGCCCATCCCCCCACATCTGTAGCATCTCAGCAGACTTCAATGGTCTCAGGGCCCTCTGTGGTGCTGTGGTTCCCAGTTGGTTGGTTGGTTTTAGGTCTGGTTGACCTCTCTCTTTCATGTCCAATTGCTTTCTCATGTTGTTAGCATGCAGCCCGCTGTCGACTTTTGTTGCTACTCGGAACCACTCAGAGAGTCGATTTGGGATGTCACGGTATGCAGTTACCTGGGCAATTTGCTTGTCCAAGCTTGTTCTGAAAAAATTCACCAGCAGCTGCTGTGGTAAAGGGGGTAGCCTTCCAATGACCCTCCAAAATTCACAGATGTGCTCTTTGATGGGTCGGTCCCTCTGCTTTAGGTTGCTGAGTTCCTCTTCCTCATATGGGTCCTCCTCTACCATCTCAATTCTGCCCTCTAGCAGTTGCAGGAAGTCATCTATGTCTTGCAGTTGGGGAGCTCTCCTCTTGTGGAGGGCTGCTAACCATTCCCTTGCTTCTCCCTCTAGNATGTACAAAGGTTTTGTAACCAACCAGCACACTGTATGTAACTGGAAGATGGTTTTATGTTTTATGTTTTGTTTGTGTTTGTTTGTCTAAAAACAAACAAATTATTTTTAAAAAAAATATCACTGTCTTAAGACGTTCTTCACAGACGAAATCCTTAAAGTTCTGTAATCTAGAATTAAATATTATTTACGTAAATCCTTCATGTTGCTAGCTGTGTGTGTGTGTGTATGAGAGAGAGAGAGAGAGAGAGAGAGAGAGAGAGAGAGAGAGAGATGGAATTCAAAAAAATGTTACTACCGGTTCTGTGGGTGTGACTTTAAAAATGTTACTACCGGTTCTGTGGGTGTGACTTGGTGGGTGTGGCATGGCTTGGTGGGCATGGCTTGGTGGGCATGGCTTGGTGGGCATGTAATTGGCAGGATACTGTAAAATCCCCATTCTCTTCCCACTCCAGGGAAAGGTTACTGCAAAATTCCCATTTCTTTCTGATCAGCTGGGACTCGAGAGGTAGAGAATAGATGGAGGCAGGGCCAGTCAGAGGTGGTTTTTACCGGTTCTCTGAACTACTCAAAATTTCTGCTACCAATTCTCCAGACGTGATCAGAACCTGCTGAATACCATGTGTGTGTGTGTGTGTGTGTGTGTGTGTGTGTGTGTGTGTGTGTGTGTAAATACATATATAAGTGAAGTTTAAAGATATAAAGACTAGTTACTTTGTGCATATTTATAAAGTATGTATATTTTAGTTTCAATAGTTAAGTTAATACATCCCTTTCTAAATATTGTTATTTGCTTATTTTGAATAAATATGATACAGAATTTCAGCAGTTACAATATATTTTTATGGTTGAAGTCAGTCAATTTAATTTTATTCAATAATGACATAAATTAACATTATGTGTGAACTTAGCCACTTGCCTGCTTTCTCATAACATTACATTGATACTGTATATCTGTGTGCATCTCCTGCAACATAACTGGCACATAGACATGTACTGCTACATATTTTAAAGTGTGTAAAATGGTTTAAATTATTCAGGTAGAAGGAAAATTGGGAGAGATAATTATTGCTGTCAGGCCTGCAGCCATATTCCTTTTTGGATCTTTGGCCTGCCACACTTTTTATTATTCTACTATACTGTTTCTATTGTGGGAAAATGGGAGGGGGGATGGTATGGAGTAAAATGCTATATAGCCAAATTAAAATTCCTTTCTAGAATCCAAGGTCATCGTTTGTACACCTCTGCACCTAACTGGAACTGGATGGGTGGAACTGCCAGCATGGCAGTGGAAGATTGGACCATGTGATGGACTTGTGGGTGTGGGAGCAAGAGCATGAACTGTGTGGGGGAAAAACTAGGAAGGTCAGGTTCGAGTTTCCCCCAGATGTGCCAACATGGCTCTCTTAATAATTTGGAACTTTGAGCAATACTTTGCCTTGGACTCTGATTTAATTTTGGATGCTATTTGGAACGCTGAGAATTGCATTGATCCTTTGCAAAAGCTTTATATTTTGTTTTCTATAGGGTACTGTCAACCATGACAGATGCAATCTTGGCCAGAGTATATAAACATTGCGACCTAATCACACTTGCAGAAGAAGCCGCAATCCCAGTGATAAATGGGTTGTCTGATTTTGATCATCCTATCCAGATTTTAGCTGATTATCTTACACTCCAGGTAATAGCTTTCCATTCTTTGATTTAAAGTATAATTTTAGCAATTTGTGCTAAAAATTAGGTATATTTGAGCTTAAGCGTATGTATAGGCCTATCTTAGAGAGTTAAGATTTGAATTTAAGTTAAGAAATTGGTAGAAGAAAGTATTTGTAGTTCAGGGTTGAACTGTGGGGTTTTCTGTGCTTGGTGGTTTTGTTGCAGACATTTCATTACCAACTAGGTTTTTCCCTGCAAAAACGGGCCCTTTTTTGTAAAAAAAAAAAATATATGCATGCATAGCCTCATGGAGGCTTAAAGAGTGCTGCTGGGGGCTGGGGGGGCAAAAAAAGCCCATTTTTTGCTCATTTCTTCCCTCCCCAGCCCCCAGGAGCTCTCTGAAAGCCTCCATAAGGGTATGCACGGCCATTTTTGTGAGTGGGACTTCAGGAGGCAAAAAAAATGCTGTATTCAATGTATAAGATGCACCCAGATTTTCAGCCTCTTTTTTGAGAAAAAAAGGTGTATCTTATACTCTGAAAAATACAGTATATAGACTGTATGATACCAGATCATCAAGGTTTGTATAAACATTTGTGACTGTTGTTATTTCCTTCTGTCCAAATCCCTGAAGTCATATTTCAAAAAGGAGTGAAACAATGAAAAAATACCGTATTTTTCAGAGTATAAGTTGCATCAGATGCACCTTAATTTTTTGGGAGGAAAACAGGAAAAAACTTTCTGCCTCTGCCTAGCAGCATCCATCAATATTAATCTGGCTAGCATTCTTGCAGCCAACGGCCTGGTTAGCTTCAGCACATTATTGCAGCCTGATTTATCAGGAGCAGCTGATTGGCTGGGAATGGGAGATGGAACTGGCCAGGAGGAACACACGCCCTGTTTTTGCAATCTTGGAGGAAAAAGAGTGTTTCAGGCTGTGGGCAGTTCCAGGCTGCGGGGATCACAGATCCATCTCCTGGGCCAGGAGCAGAAACCAGCCAGCCTCTGCCTGGGTGGTCTGGAGAAGCAGGGATGCCTAAGGAGCTGCTAAGCTTCCCCCACTTTTTTAAAAAAAAAATCAGTTTGAATTGCTTTGGGCACAAAGATTCTCCTTTGCAAAGGCATTCATCCTTTGGCCAGTGGATTTCCCCCACTTTTCTTTCTCTTCTGACCCCCCCCCCCAAACACTGAGACCGCCTTTTTATCTCCCGTTGGCTACCCATCAGCTGCTGGCTGCCCATTTCCACTCTTAGACATGTTGCTTCCCCCTCCTCCCTCAGAAATGGAGGGAGAGCACCCCTCATCCCCCCATGGATGACTCACTTTCAGCCTCGCTTCATTAAAGCGGAGCAGCCCCTTTCCAACCTGCAACTTGGAGACAAAACAAAACCCTACGCCACACCCTTCCCCCATCTCAAAAGACCCCATTGTGCACCTGGCATCTGGTCTTGGCTCATTTGCCTCCACTGATCCCTGCTTTTTCACAGCATCCCTGGGGCCAGGCATGGGCCTCCTGCAAAGTTCGCTTCTAGCCCCCTCCCAAAAGCCTCCCTAATGACCATCTGGCCTTCCAGGCTGGCCAGGGGTGAAGGCAGCTGGTGTGACATCCTGCCTGCCCACCTAAAGCTTTGGAGCTCAAGAAGGAAAGGTGGCATTGAGTGTTCACCGGAGGAACCCACCACCACCACCACACACACATTCTCTGCCTGCCGTGCACAGCTCCCACTTGCCTGGCTCCCTCCAAATGTAGCCCAATCTGGATTAATCCTTGACCCATGCGGAGGGTGGTCGGCTTCTGCTCCTGGCCCGGGAGATGGATCTGTGATCCTGGCAGCCTGGAACTGCCAGCCACCTGAAACACTCTTTTTCCTCCCTCATATATGAAAGTTTGTATCCCTTCAGCTTATTTTCTTTCAATACCACTACATATGAAATAAGGTTTATATATACACTTCCTTGCTTAATTGTTTTATAAAAATATGTGCGTGAACGAAATATGTTTTTAATGATTGAGCAACCACTTGCTACTTAAAGTGTACCGTCATTCCTTTGACTGGATGAATCACCCAAATTATCTTTGACTGGATGTCTTTCAGTGCATGAAAAAAAACCAAGAACATCCCTTCAGGATACCAAAAATCTCTGCACTGCAGAAGACACTGAAGCCTTTCCCAGGCATCCATGTATTGTGATTGAATTTTTTCTCCATAATAAATATAGATGAAGAGCTAATGGAACAACTATATAATAATATCATGAATTAGTAAATACTTTTAATTGAAAATGAGAAGCAGTCAGCCTACTTAAACTGTTTTAAAAGTATAACATCATGCAATTTCATAACATATAATTAATTAAGCCATTTTCATATTTTCTATTTGTCTGGTATCATTTTATCTACCATAGTTTTCACTTTTATAGTATATTTCATCGTCAAGAATTGATATGTTTTCAGTTATAACATGATTTACTTTTTTATAGCAATTCACTGCCCATTTGCTGTGCTAATAAATCCCCATATAAGTTACCCTTTGGAATATTTACATTATCAACCATATCACACACACACACACACCGATTCTGGGATGCAGAAGGAATGGAATGCAATGGAAATTACTGTTTGGCTTCCATCATCCAGGGACGTGCAGTCACTAGAGGCAAGGGAGGNAAGGTATGCATGGAATTCTCCCTCCCATGTCAACTTGATAATAGTCATGGAAATGCTTTACAAATTAACACGTATCCTCTTTTTTCGATTTTCCTTGTGCCACTGTCAAACCCAGTGAAATCTTTTGTCTGCTTTTTATTTTCCATTATCTCTACAATTTCACTATCCTTCCCTCTTTTTCCCTCATTTCCTGTCTCTCCTCAATTTCTAACTTCAGAATTTGGTTTAAGTTTAATTTTAATGACTCATGCATATATTTTTTTATAATTTCACGTATTTCTTCAAATTCCCAACTTTCCATATTGTCCAGTTCAAAAATTCCCTTCATTATAATTTAAGTTCCACATTTTCTTCTTATTTCCCAATTCTTATTCTGCTTCTATATTTCCATTCAGCTGAAATGGAGAGGAAAAGAAGGGGGAGACATCTTAATTGCTTCCCTTTCTTTGTTCTTCCCTTTGGCAAGTGGCTCCGTATTCTTTCAATTTCATGATTTTTCAGCAGTACAACCTTGTACTGCTGGATTTAAAACTGGACGTATGTTTACGTCCAGTTTTAAATCCAGGAAAGATAGAGTTACGAACAGAGAAAATAGTGCTTTTTCTTGATTTTCCCTCTTATTAACTTCCACCTATCATTGATTAGAGTTGCTTAAGATATGTAAATTAGAACAAGATCAAACAAAGTGAGTCTCGGTGTATTTTTAGTTTCCATTCCCCCTCCTTCTTTTCCTTTGTCAGGTTCCCAATTGTCAATTAACGTATTTTTCGGAGCATAAGACACACTTTTTTACCCCCCAAAAGAGGGTGAAAATCTGGGTGCGTCTTATACTCTGAATGTAGCTCTACCCACCCGCTCCATGCGTTGCATTTTCAGGGGGTTCCATACGGCGGGGATCCTCACTTTCACATGGAGCCTGATTGCCAAAGCAGCCTGGAGAATTGCATTCAAAGTCTTTTCAACGAAAGCATTTTTGGGCGGCAGCACCACAATCCCTCCCTGATTCCAAAAAGGATGCGTGGAGAGACCAAACAAGTGCATCGTGTTTCAGGTGGCAGGCATTTTCTGTCTGTCTCGCTGAGGTATTTCTGGTCTCTCTCCCAACGTTTTGGAATCTTAAGAAGAAGATTCCAGAAAAACAATTGATTCTTCTAGATCTCTGTTTTCGAGCCCATATTTCTGTTCTGCTGTTTCCATCTTTTTATCTAATTGTTCCATTTTTGTCTCTACTGTTTTTATTCTCTGTTCATTTTTAATAATAGTCTGCTGGATATTTCCTATTTTGTCATCCATTCTTCTTATATCTCCTTTCATTTCTCCCATCTCTTGTTTGATTTCTTCATAGCTTCTTTTGGCCTCTTCATGGTTATTTGCTATTGCTTCCTGTGTTCTTGTCATTGCTTCGTGTATCTTTAAAAGCGTAGCTTGCATACCCTGAATGTTTAATGCAGAACCTGCTTTGACGGTTCCCATCATGCTCTCTATTGAGCGCTAGTGTGAAGGCAATGAGGTTGTAGATGCTCGGTTTGGGACAGTTTTCTTGCTCGTCCTAGTAATAGTTGTTGTGCTCATTATTTTCCCCACATTCACAAGGTTTTTCCAAAATAACATGCAATGATTTAACTGGTCAAATTCTCTTTTGAGACCTCCCCATTCCTATATTCCTTAAGCAACAATCCTACAATAATAATAGTGACACCTTCACTTTAAGTATGTGTGTATGTGTGTGTGTGTGTGTATAGTATATAAGTTTAAGTATGAATACATGTAAAAATATAGCTGTATATATCTAAATATAGGTACTTATATATTCTACTCTAACGATCTTTTAAATAAATTTAAATAAATATTTCTAATTATAAAAAGTTTAAAGGTTATACATGATTGTTAATTAAATCTAATATGTATGATATATAAAATACATTGAATAATATAGATATACCAAGAATTGACACCTTAAAGCTACCTTCTTAGTTAATGAGTAGTAATAGGTGAATATAAATATATCTATAGATTATAAATAACTTAATTTCAAGTTCTCAGAGTCCTATCAGTACTTTGCAGTTGGTTCACCTTTACAATTAATTCTATTTCTTATCTTATTGTGTTTATATATTTATGAATATGTCTTTTATCTCCTCCTTTTAATTTCATTATCCTCCAAGGTCCTTCAGTTGGATTTCTCTTTCTCACATTGTCTTCTTAAGTCACTTCTATAAGTCAATTCAATAATGCCTCAGTCTTGCACCATTTCTTTATGCACACTACTTATTTAGATCTGTCCATTCTATAGCCTCCAGATGATGCTCTTGTTCTTCTTGTTCTTCTTACCCAACACAGGATTTCTTTATTATTAA